CCCAATATGTGACATTCCCAAATTTCTCGGTCAGAAAAGATCGATTTAATTTATGCTTTTAAAATAAAATCAAAGTAATCATTTGATTAAAAGAGTTGTGGAATTTGTTCCCAAAACAAAATATGATAAAAATTTATCAAAGTATTTCTTAAAGAAATGTATTTTTATTATATAACAAAATCTCAGGATGTCATGTTCCGATACAGACCAAAATCATAAACTGCACATTATAAGCCTTACAACTACTGACCTATAATCTAAAATATCTTGACTAGTCCTCCAACGTATGCTCTTATGCCACTACCTGTAATACAATGGAAACTAAGTGGGTCAGGCTTGGGAGTCTGGTGAGCATATAGGATTATCAACCCACAATAAATAATTATATTAATTTCATCAACAACCAACAACTCGATTACCCATTCCCGTTATCCTCACTTTACGTCCCTAAAATAACTATCACAAGGGACCTAGTCTAAGGATCATCATCGAGATAAACATTACTGCTAAGGGGGTTCCTCAGCAATAAATGTCCTAAAGTCAACCTTGAGGGGGATAGAGTACACCGGTGAACACATCTTTCACAAACACATACAGGTTGCGAACCAGCCACCATTCCACTGGCTTGTCTAAAAAGAGTTCGTGGTCGTCATCCATACTCCGCTAGATGACTAGATCAGCAACAACATCGAGGCCTCTCATCATTTTATTTCATCACACATCAACTATCTACCCATGTTTTACCCAACATATTTGTAGATAAAAATACATATACAATTTAAAATTTGTACAAAACATTCATTCAACACTTATTTCAAATAAACAAATAATATATAAACACATAGCACATATTTTATAGAGAATAATTCATATCTATGTGTTAGAAGAAAATGACTATACACTCACATGTTAAGAAGTCGATTGGACAGTACTTCTGCTCTAAAAATAATATTCTTTGATGAAGCCGGGATGTTTTCTCAAAAACCGGGCTTCACGCGGGCAGAGTTTCAACTAGTAAATATGATTTTCTTGGGAACTTAGGAGCGTCGGGACTTGCTTCGGGTAATAGGGATGATACTGTGACTTCGGGGGTGTAGGATAGACTAAAAGAGAGGCTAGAGAGTGAAAGAGAGTGGAATTAGTAAACAAAAACCGGAGCCTTCGCTTTCTATTTATAGTAGGCTGGCCAGGCCGAACGCAGTGCGTTCCTTGGAGGAATACAGCGCGTTCCGGTTGGTGCGTGGCTTCAGACGTGTCAAGATGCGAGATACGTGTCACTACATGCGAATGCGGGGCGTTCCCTTCGTATAAGCTTCGAAGTTTGTGCCCAAAACTTCAAAAATTCATATCTTTTGCATACAAGCTCCGTTTTTGACGTTCTTTATATCCATACGTAGATGAGATTATACTCTACAACTTTCATTTAGATTTTGTCGGCTAATTCTGAATTTATTTTTATTATTATATTTTTAACAGACTGGGACAGGAAAAGTCCGTTAAAAATTCATAACTTCTTCATCCGACGTCCATTTTCGTCTGTCTTTTTACTGTTACACTACTATTAGTGAGATCTTCGATTCTCGTTTAGATTATTTTGGCTAAAAATCACTCGATCTGAATTTCGAGTTTTCGGCTGCATACTGCTAAGTCAAAACTTCGAAAAATCATAGCTTCCTCATACGAAGTCAGATTTGGACGTTCTTTTTATGGACGCTCTCGGTTTAATGTATTCTAGGACTTTCATTTAGATCGTTAAGGCTAAAAAGCGCTCTATCGTAAATTCACTATTTCCGTCATGCAGTGTCGTGCCAGTTCTGTTGCGAAACTTCGACATGTCATAACATATTCATTATAACTCGGATTTCGACATTCTTTATATATCCGAAATCCTTGTCAAGACCACTACCTCTTTATGTATAGATATCGAGTTTATCTAACATTTTAATTTAATGCTTATTATTACATTATTTTATCCTTAATTCATTTAAATCACAACAATTAAGCATAAAACACATAATACTCAAATAATACATTTTTATTATTTCAGAACGAGTTACAAGGTTAACCTAGACTATTACATCATCATTAATGCCTAGCCGAGAAACACGGACGTTACACGATAAGAGGATTCTGGTTCATTCTGAGTTTGAACCAGGACATTAGGGTTACAAACCCACAATTGAATGTGTGAAATGTATTAATTAGGTTTTGGACTTCACAAGTGAGTTTTGATTCAAGTGATTGTTTTTGGAATGAGCATTTGTACATAACATCAACTTAGATTACAAGTTACACAAGAGTTGATTACATGAAGACAAAATTTCCTAGCCAAAAATGTTAGTTGTGACAGTAGTGAACGAAATTCCTAAGATAATTAGGGTTTCTATATTATCCCATGTGGATAATTATCTAATTTGAATTAATAACATTTTATTCAAATTAGGGTTATCCAGTGTATCCTATATGTGCGATAAATAGACCCTTATGCATTAAAATTTCGGCCATTCTATTCCCTCAAGAGATAGCCGAAATTCCTAGCATCCTTCTCATCTCTTTTGTTTCATCCTCCTGCGAGTGTTGGATGTGAACCATTAGAAGCATGACATTTGTGGTGCTTGCTCTCGAAGGTTCAACAACACCAAAGATTTGAATTGTTATTACTATATAACAATCAAATGTATGTTTACTAACCCTAGATGTAAATTTCGATTATAACATAGGGTTCCTAGGTTTTCCCTTTTGATGTTCAATACTTGTATGTTCAATTAGATAAAACATAGGTCAAAATAATTAGGGTTGCATGCACACATATGATTGTTTGTTATGCTCAAAACCCATCAATTTAGCATTCAAATAGTTTGCTATAATCTTTGAATAAATCAAAATCTTCTAAACCGAATAGATCAATCTAGATTATAGGCCAGCAAGCCCGAAACCAGCAAGTGGGTTGTTGGATACGGGATCCTCGTAGTAGGCTAGACCAACATCCAACCGAGAGAGGGCAGTCTTTAGAAGCAACACGGTTAATGAGCCATATATTCTCTCAACGGTTAAGATGTTGAAATCATTCATCACTAGATTGTTTAGTTTTATCAACAATACCTTAATAAATTATTTACTTTTACCAACAATACCTTAATTAGGAACACTATAAACTTGGGGCGTCAAAGGTTGAAATGACATGTGGACTCTTAGGTTAATCGGTATGGAGAGAAAACCACACGTAGGAACAGACGTGGCAGGAGAAAACAACGTTTGAATATATATATATATATATATATATATATATATATATATATATATATATATATATTTAGTGTTGTAGTATGGATGTGATGAAGATGTCGTGGCGTCGATGTAACATCGTTTTCTAATATACATGTAATGAATATATCCTTAGAGTCAGTAGTCCAATATCTTACATCATTTTTGTGTTTTGGAGGCCAAGATCCTCCATTCAACCTTCGAATTTAACATCATTTCTGTGTAAACTCCATTCTAACATCAAATATGAAGGTTAAGAGCTTATTCAAGCACAAACACACGAAAATGATATTTATTTAACACAAATTTAGTGATTGGAATCCAACTTGGTTTTTAAAAGCTTTCATATTTTGGCATCTATATTTGGTGTTAAAAATTAGTCGACACAAAAATTGTGTAAAATTTGAAGGTTGATTTTAATAAAAATGGCCTCTAAATTGGTGTTTTAGAGGTCTATTGTAGTTGACTAAATATTGTGGCCTCTAAAAAAACACAAATTTAGAGGTCGCTAATGACCATTTTGATGTTATGTAATTACAAAACCTAGTAGACTTATGTGATAATTACTTTAGTCATGGTAATTTTGAACCATTCCCTAAGTCAGAGTACCAAAAATACTCATGAAACAAGTTATGAAACAAGTTCTAATATTTTTTGTTGTAGCGGGTAACGGGTAGCTTCTAACTGGTAGCGTTTTGTTAAACGCTACATGAAGCAACATTTGGATTTGAAGCGTTTTATTTAAACTAAACGTTAGAAGCTTGTAGTGTTAAACGTGACTTTCTGTTCAAAACAGAGCGTTTTGCCAAATGCTAGAAGATAGAAGCTCACAAACGCTCCGTACCGAACATGTCCCAAAACGGAAAGGAGCAAGTAAGCCAAAGAGGAAAAAAAACACGACAAATATTTTTGGGAAAATTTTTATATGTTTTTGTAAAAAAAAAGTTGAGACTCAAGACATATTTTAGATTGGAATAAAGTGGTAGATGGATTTTATATCATTTTTCATGCTATCCATCTTACTATTATGAGAAAATGATTTAGGAGACCATCAAAGTTTCAAATTCGTATATAAATAACTATTCAAATATTATATATTCAAAAAAGATCATCAAACTAATATATCTAATATATATGTTCAAAAAATACCAACGAGCTAAATGTTATCTTCAAAAAATACAAACTCTATGGTTTGAGGTAACTTACATATTTAATCATTATTTTTTTTTCTCAACTTGAGTGGTCCCTACACTTTAAATTTGTTTTGAGTCTTAACTCGGATCGGATGGTTCTTACAATTTAAATTTGTTTGGACTTCGAATCCTAATCGAATTAAAAGACTAATATACCATTATTATTTTTGTTTAACATTATTTTATTAATTATTAATTATTTATATAATTTATGTTGTTAATTATTATAAATATATCAATTGTATAAATAATTAACAAGTAATAACCATAAATGTTAAATCAAAATAATAAATGTATATTAGTCTTTTAACTCAATCATCATCTAAAGGCAAAATAAATATAAATACTATAAATAAATATAAATACTAGAGATGTCTAATTAAAATAAAAAATATTAATAACTAAACATGTAAAATATCAAAAGCCATAGAAATAATGTTTTTTTAAGAGAAAATATATTTTGTTGTATATCTTAGTTTGATGATTATTTGAATGACAATTTAAAACTTCAATCGTACATTTTCCTTAATATGATTTATGAAACTAAAATAAAATGTAATTAGCCCCCCAACTGTCCAACATACACAGTTTTCTCTACTTTACTACTTTACTGAAACACTGTTCTTTAAAAACAGAAACAGGGTTTCGATCATTCATCCCTTTTACAAACTAGAAGGTTTCCCTTCATATTTGCCTGAGGTTGGGTGTTCCTGTTCCTCGATTCAGCCTCTGCTGCGTTAATGGCTTGGGAAGTGATTCTGTGGGTCATCTTCTTTATACTGAACATAGCCCTCATCGCCGCTAATCTATATCAGGTACTACATCGTCACCTTCTGCACTCTACCTCTGTAATGCTTCACGCATTTGATCAGAAATACCGTGCTGATCCTTAGTCAAGCTAATTAGTTTCTAATTGCCCGATTTGGCTGTAGGGTTTTGATTTTCAGCTTTCCCCGTTTCTGGTCTATCAGTAAATAACAGTTGTTGTCCACAGCATAACGTGCATATTCCTCTTTGCAGCGTTTCAATTTTCACAATAGAAGCCATTGCTTTACTAATTTTTGCTTCACAATAGACGTTTTCCAATGTTCAAAAGAGACTCTTTCATAACCTTCGAATCAACATAGAACCATGGTGGTCTTTGATTAATTGGTTGTACAGTTGTGACTTGTACCGGTGACTAACAAAACATTAACACATGTATATTATCCCAGATTTCCAGTATCCTTCTCATCTTTATAACACTTAATGCCCCCAAAATCCATATCTAGGTTTAAGATTTACAACATTAAAACCCAAATTCCAATCCTTCATAAATGTTTCCTTTTGGCATGTTTGAGCTGAAATCACTAGCTAAACACCATCTCCAAGTTTTTAATATCTTTCTACACTACTCACTTCCAACAACTACACCCAATCTACATGAAATCAAGATCTCAAATAACTCAAAATTATAAATAACTTTTCCTCTAATTCACCTTTTTTTTGCCACAAAACAATGGCCATTTGACAAAAAAGCTCCTCAAACTTACATAATCACTCATATGCTTGTGTATTGCTTCTCATGTTCACATCAACAATCTATACACCTAACATTAAGTTTTCCCAGTATTATTTATCACTCAAGATCATATTCATTACAACAAATTTCAAACTTTAGAATGTTACACATGGTTTTCTTTTGTAATTTGCTGATTGCCACAAGATTTTCATACAATTATTTATTGATAGATGTTTCTAATGTTCTTTAAATTGTAGATTGTGTGCCTAACAGATTTGGAAGCTGACTACATGAACCCATATGACTCATCATCTCGCATTAATGCTGTGGTAATTCCCGAGATTTTGATCCATGGTATATTTTGTGGTCTTTTTCTTGTAACAGGGCATTGGTTCATGTTCATATTTACACTCCCCATTACTATATATAGTGCCATGTTGTAAGTTCTATTTTGCTCATCTACTCAGCTTTACATATATATTATAATTATATGTATATTTGTTTCATGAATTCTATGATTTTCAACTTTGTATTTTGGTCTGTTTCAGATACTCAAAAAGACGACATCTTATTGATGTAACTGAAGTTTTTAGATCCATTGATGCTGAAAAGAAGTACCGAATTGTGAAGCTTGCTTTTTATTTGCTTCTATTTGTTCTAATCATTATCAGGTCAGATGTTTTTTTTTATCTCTTAAATACATTCTTTTTATACTCTTATGTTAAAAATTTAGAGATTTATACCTTTTAAATTGTTTATTGTGGGATTGTTGGTGACAGATATTGTAATTGTGCAGGTTGGTAATAGAGGTTGTGAACAATTTGATAGATGATGATGAAGAAGGTGTACATTTATTTGGAATGTTTTGATTTTTTTGGTTATGTTGATTCTTGGATTTGTAACATTAGTTGTAATTTTTATGGGGGCAGAGTGTGGTTCCTAAATGATCCTTTCAGGTTTTTTGTAAGATTTTAGTAATGTTTGTTTGTTGCTAAGATACAACAAAGTGGATTCCATCGAGTTTAACTTTCATTTGTTTAATCTAATTATTAAAAAATAGTCAAATGGGTTATCGATCTTCTATTATTTCATGCATCTCAACGTACATCTGCAATGTAATTTTGAAGATTGGTTCTGAATACTCGAAGTTCATTTTGGAATTCATTAGGATAAAATTATTCCATTTTGAATGGTAACAATCTTTCTATTTTGATCTTTGGCACAAACAAGTCATGGAAACAAATCATATATGTGTTATTTTGATCTTCAAAATCAAACCAAAACTTTAGCAATGGGTCATTTGGTGTTTACATTGGGTAACAATCTTTCTAAATATAATTGCTTTAAAAATACAATCAATGTACGACCTATTATAAAAGAATGTACTTTCAGATTAAATCAAATCAAAATCGAAAGAAATTAAACCATATTTGGATGTGTAATATATTAGTATTCACCATACATACTTTACATAGTTAACATTCATTTGATTAAAATTATAAGATGTTAGAATTCAATGGTGGATGGTTATTGAACTTTTCAATGTTTTTCTTTCATCCTTAAATAAATATCATAAATTAGGTTTTATAATAAATATTTTTTTTTTGAATTCTATAAAATTCAATGTATTTTATGAAAATATTATATAAATTACATATATATCATATACGTAATACATGTGTATTCGTTAAATAGGTGTTTTCGATTATTTTTTAAATTCAAAAGTTCTTTTTGGTTTTAGCTTTTGAAGAGGCAAAAGCAAAAAGTTGTTTTTAAAAAATGTTTAGGTTGTATTTTTTAATTTTTGAATTTACCTTTTAAAAGGCTAACACTTAGTTCCTGAGTTTAACAAAAGAAAAGAAAAGAAGAGAAAAAAAATGAGAGTTTTTTTTTTTTTTTTTTTTTTTTTTTTTTGTGTTTTCGAGTTGGAAAAAAAATCAATCATTTTATTTTTTCTTTCTAAATCATTCCAAATCGGAAAGAAGGTTAAGAGAGAAAGTAATTTCCATCAACTTCCTTCCTTTGATGAAATCGAGAAAACTAATTTCTTTTATTTTTTCGTATTTCCACAATTTTTTTTTTTCTTTCATTAAGTTTGAACTTGAGAAGATATCAAAGTAAAAAAATTTAACAATTTCCTGACTTTTAAAAAATCTTTTTTTTTCCTTTGGCAAAAAGTTTACTTTGAAAAAGATATTTTTTTATTTCCCAAACATTGAAATTTTGACTTTTTTTACTTAAAAGTCAAAAAATCGAAGACCCTCTAAATCGAAAAGCTCAATGTGTTTAACTGTTTTGATCGGCTTCAAGCATCTGGCTGAGAGATTGTTGTAAATGAAATGAAACCGCCCCGTACTTTAATTTTTTTTACAAGTATCGCATCTTTACCCTCTTTCAATATGTTAAGATGCGCCTGAAAATCAACCTTTTCTCCGATGTTCTTAGACATGAATTCTATCCACTTTCATTTCACTTCACCCGCCGACTTGCTTCTTCTTCTTCTTCTTCTTCTTCTTCTTCTATCCCACAAGAGTTATCAACCAATTTACAAATTTTGTGTTCCAATGGTGGCCTCGACTATGCGCTGACAGATATGTCGAGATTAGGCCTTCAAATAAATTTCCAAGAGTACGACACTCTTTTAAATGAGTGTGTAAAACAGAAATCTCTGAGAGGTGGTCAGAGGGTTCATGCCCACATGATCAAAACCCAGTACAAACCGCCCGTGTATCTTGGAACAAGGTTGCTTGTTTTGTACAATAAATGTGATTGCTTATCGGATGCTCAACAGGTGTTTGATGAAATGCCTGATAGGAATGTGGTTTCCTGGACAGGTTTGATGTCAGCTTATTCGAAGAGAGGGTACACCTCTGAAGCATTGAATCTTCTTGTGAAGATGTTACAATCAGGTATTCTTCTACACATTTGCAACTGCGATATATCACTTGTATTCTCTGTTTTTGATAGCATATTGTTCTTGTAGGTACTGAGCCAAATGAGCACACGTTTTCAACTGCGCTCACTTGTTGCACTGGAGTTTATGGGCTTGAGCATGGAAGACAAATCCACAATCTTACAATCAAAAACAATTTTGAATCTCATTTATATGTCGGATCTTCCCTCCTTGATATGTATGCTAAGGCTGGTGAAATCCATGAAGCCCGTCTTGTTTTTGAAGACCTACCAGAAAGAGATGTTGTTTCTTGCACAGCCATTATCTCAGGCTATGCCCAATTGGGTCTCGATGAAGACGCCTTGAAGCTGTTCCATAGGTTTCAGAAGGAAGGAATGGCTTCAAACTATGTTACCTACGCTAGTGTTTTAACTGCAGTATCTGGACTTGCAGCATATGAAACAGGTAGGCAAATTCACAGTCATGTCCTTCGGTCTAAACTTCCCTTCTATGTGATTCTTGAAAACTCTCTCATTGACATGTACACGAAATGCGGTCAACTAAGTTACGCAAGAAGGGTGTTCGATAAAATGTCTGAAAGAAGCGTGATTTCATGGAACGCGATGCTTGTGGGATACAGTAAACATGGAATGGGTAGAGAAGTGGCTAACCTTTTCGAACTCATGAGGAAAGAGAACCAAGTAAAACCAGATAAAGTTACATTCTTGGCTATATTATCAGGTTGTAGTCATGGAGAGATGGAAAATAAAGGGTTACAAGTGTTTGATGAAATGCTTACAGGAAAAGACGGTGTTGTCCCTGATATTGAACATTATGGATGTGTAGTTGACTTGTTAGGTCGTTCGGGTAAAGTAGAAAAAGCATTTGAATTTATTAAAAATATGCCTCTTGAGCCAAATGCTGCCATTTTGGGTTCTTTATTGGGGGCTTGTTTGGTGCATTTAAATGTTGATATTGGTGAAATAGTTGGTAATCGTTTATTAGAAATAGAGCCTGAAAATCCTGGGAATTATGTGATTCTTTCTAATTTATTTGCTTCTAAAGGGAGATGGGATGATGTGAGAATGATAAGAAATTTGATGAGTTTAAAGGCTGTGGCAAAAGATCCAGGAAAAAGTTGGATTGAAATTGATCAAACACTTCATACGTTTCATTCAGGGGATCAATCACACCCCAAAATGGAGGTGGTTTATGGTAAAATGAAAGAATTATTAGTAAAACTTAAAGAAAACGGATATTTTCCTGATTTGAGTCGTGTTTTATATGATGTGGATGATGAACAGAAAGAGAAGATAGTTTTAGGGCATAGTGAAAAATTGGCATTGGCATTTGGGCTGATTTTTAGTCCTAAAGGGAAGGCGATTAGGATCATGAAGAATCTTCGGGTTTGTGTTGATTGTCATAATTTTGCAAAAGTTGTGTCTCGAGTTTGTGAAAGGGAAGTGTTTATGAGGGATAAAAATCGGTTTCATCATATTGTTAATGGTGTTTGTTCATGTGGAGATTATTGGTAAAATGAATATAGCTTGTGGTTGCTCTTATTATGAAAATTTGTTCTATATAGATATAAAATGAATCAGAATTTTGTTTGTGTAGTGACCAATGAAACAAATTTTAGGATTGTATGTTTGTTATACCTAATTTAAAAATGTGTTAGGTGCTGTTTGTTTTTTTCTAAAATACCTCTCCAGGCCTCTTATTGTTGCTCCGCGCAACACTTGGTCCTTCGCAGCTGTTTGTTTTTCAGAAGACTTCTGACTTAAAAACTGTTGAGCGTGTGCTACGTGGCGCAACACTACACCAACTGCTTCAAACCTCTTCACGTCTTACTTTAACTTACTGCAGCAGTCTGCAAACGTTAAAAAACAAACATTTTTTTTAAATGTTGCAGCCGTTTGTTCCACCTCTTCTGCTACAAAGGGTTGCAGAGGTGGTTCGCAGACTTCAGACATTTTCGTTTCGAAAAAACAAACAACTTAGAGTTCATTTTGTACTAACTAAATCTAAGGTTATATATGTTAGAAATTGTTTACCCTAATGGTCAGAGTGAGTGAACTATTTAGACGATTGAAAGATATGTTGAGGGTTTGTTTGTTCCACCTCTTCTGCTACAAAGGGTTGCAGAGGTGGTTCGCAGACTTCAGACATTTTCGTTTCGAAAAAACAAACAGCAACTTAGAGTTCATTTTGTAATAACTAAATCTAAGGTTATATATGTTAGAAATTGTTTACCCTAATGGTGAGAGTGAGTGAACTATTTAGACGATTGAAAGATATGTTGAGGGTTTGTTTGTTCCACCTCTTCTGCTACAAAGGGTTGCAGAGGTGGTTCGCAGACTTCAGACATTTTCGTTTCGAAAAAACAAACAGCAACTTAGAGTTCATTTTGTAATAACTAAATCTAAGGTTATATATGTTAGAAATTGTTTACCCTAATGGTCAGAGTGAGTGAACTATTTAGACGATTGAAAGATATGTTGAGGGTTTGTGTCATTGATTGATTGATGGTCAGAGTAAGTGGATTATTTAGACGATTGAAGAATAAGCGAGAAGCCTTTTTTTTTTTTTTTAAAATAAATACATCAACAATCATTCAAACATTGGTACACCTCTATATGAGCTTCTTTTTGAGACGAGGTGTCGCACTTTACTTTGTTAGGGAGAGGTTGGTCATGGGAGATGTGACATCCCGAAATTTATGTCTAAAACTGTAGACAATCAGTTCACCGCGAACTTCTTTGTAATCTGACCTATTGAGCTTTAATACATATATTGAAAAATATATAGTGTCATTACAACTATTATAAGATACCAAATGATATCTTACTTCCAATCATAGAAAATCTCAAACGAATCACAAAGCACAAACTGTAACCCTAGTTAATACATCTGAAAAATTGAAAATTCATATTAAGTGTTTGTGAGCGAAGTAAACACTCTAGTATTGTAGTAAATGTTCCCTTTGTCCGAAAATGTAAAGAACTTCCAAAACGGAGTTTGTATACAAAAGATACGATACTTATAAGAAAACAAACTATTAAAACACTGATTTTCTTTAAACTGCTAAAATCGATTTGATCCGTTGAGGAACTTGCACACCTCAGATGGAAATTCCGAGAACGTTTTTGGACTCAGATCATAGTCTATTAAAAATATTTGCAAAAGTTGAAAAATCAGATGTTTCGGGTCAATTAGATGTGAATTTTTAAACGTGATTTCCTGGAGTTCTACAAATCAAAAAATTAATCCGTTCGGATTTTTGGAATCCTTGAACTCTGATCTATCATACAACACTTTCGGTAAAAAATATCAGAGTTCAGGAACTTGGCACACAAACCTAGGTTGTTTTTGGGACTTTTTGAGAGTGTGACATCACCATGACTCACCATCCATGCTTTGCAAGACCAAAATCAGCTAAGGAACCCTTTCTTCCCCCTCTCTTTCCCACATGGGTTTCCTTCTCCCCCATCCATTCCCTTACTTTTTTGGAGTACACTCCTCACCCTAAGTACAATCATGGTAGTGTTTGTGTGAAAGACTAGTTTAAAAAGCATAGGTTGCATAGACATGTGAGAGCTCACTTGGGATATAAAAGGAAGCCCTTGGCTTCCCATTTTCCTCACAATTCATTAGCCAAACCTCCTCACACTCTCCCTCCCTCTCTTGCTTCTTCTCTCGGTTTAGAAACACCATCGAAGACCACCCTTCCACCACCGAAGTTCATGCACCACCGGACACACCCTCTTCCCAAATGTTTTTTTTCGAGAAACCATCCCTACTTGGTTGCCACCTCTTTCTGCCATTTTTCCGTGAAAACTCCAAGACTGAGTCTCGACTTTTTATTGTTTGTTTCGTGTGTATTGAGTCCAAACAACCACATCAAAATTCCTTGCTAGTTTGTGTTATCTCACGGTGCTAAGTGCTCCCGGAACAGGATCACATTCTCAAGTCTAAACCGAATTCATGTATATTAGGTGAGTGCTTACGACCCCATTTTATAGTTTTTATATATTTTCAGAGGAGGGGGGGGGGGGGGGATGGATACATGTGCTCATATATTTTGTTTATGTAAAAACACTATTGAAAAACATACTACAAAGTGCTATGATTTTATGTGAAAACTTGTGGTCCATTCGAGACCTGTTTTTCCCATCTTGAACCCTGTGGTTTGCAAAACTGTTTTGTATGCAAGTAGTCTAGATCGATACCTTTTCATGGATTACTTGCACACGTTCATACGATCTTTATATAAATTATTATGATTTTTGCAAAATTGCATATCATTGTAGTCCTTTTCAGTTTAGTCTGTAAAACTATCATTTTCATCTTAGTTAGGGTTCATATCAGGTCAGGGCAAAAATTAGGGACAAAGTAGACTTAGTTTATAAACCTTTAAATTTTACGAATCCTAATTCCGAATCCCGATGATTTTTCAAGTTACCTTTTTAATGTTGGGCGAGCCTAAATATTGAAAATAACAATGTACTTTCTTCATAGTTGGTCTGTTAGTGTTATAAGTTCAATCTGGTCTACTATACACAATACCTTCTTCCTTTTTGGAAACCTTTTTCAAAAAAAAAAAAAAAAAAACTGAAAGTTGTTTTCCTAACAAAAAAATTGTGAGTCGTTTTTAAACCCACATAGTTGATAATTTTATTATGAGTCTCTCGTATTTTCTTTTTCATGGCTTCTAATGAATATTGATGGAAGTGTAGGTAGGCATTATTTTAGTACGCATGTTACCAACCTGCAGATGGCATGTCCTTCTCTTGGGGCGACCGTTTTGCACAAAAATACAACATACTAACATTAACATACATGTAAGTATATAATATACTGTTAGAAAAAACAATAACATTATATATATTTTTAAAAAATATAATAAAAATATACAAAGACATAAAACATTATTATATTTTAAACAGAATATTCTCGCATTTCAACTACTTATTATCTGCTAGTTATAAGTTTCAGCCTAGCTGGACCAAATACTTTTACCAAATTTAACAAAATATAAGTTATGTTGTTAGTTAATTTAATAAATCTGGTACGTATTATGATAAGTTTATAAAAATCACAAATTTATTATGGAGCTCTATAATTAAAAATGGTGATATTTCGTCTTTTTACAGGAAGTGATTGTCTGTGGCGGAGCAAACCGGACATACGACGGCAGTTGTGTGTGTTTTGTATGATTCATTAATCATACATATATTCAATTATTTTGTTTGTTTTGTTCCCGTCATATTCATTGTGTTTGATCATTTAACAAATAACGTTAAAAATAATATAACATATATGGTTTTAAATCATTTTTGCAATAACCGAATTAAAAAAATATTAAGACATGATTGACAGAGAAATCTTGTTATTCGATAGTGATGACGGGTGGTCCAGCTACATGAAGTACTACTACTTCCCCTGCTTCATTTACATTTATTTTTTAATAAAAAATTATAATCCAAAAAAAAAAAAAAATACTACTTTAACATACCAGGAAAGTCAAATGGCAATTTGGTGAGATAGATAAACTATGAAGAGAGTGTTATGGCATGTAAGTAATATTGAAGGGGGTATTATTGACAAAATCAATATCCCAAGGGGGGTTTCGAGAAAATCAATTAGATTTCAACTGATTCACAGAAAATATAATAATTAGAATTATACAGAGAAAGGAATCAAAGAACGCGTAACGTAGCAGAAAACTCTCCGGGTCATTTGTCTACCACCGACGCGACCGAACCGGGTGCAAGTGACTGCCCACCTGACGACCCATATGCACCTCACCATCTTCTTCCACATGTACCCTTATACCCATGAAAATGATAAACCACCTAAATATAAATATACACATTTACAAATACGTAGTCCACAGTCCACTGACTTTTTCAGAGTTACATACACAGCTGCTCATCGGAAAATTCTTTATTCTTTCATCGTCTCCACTTCTCCATAGCTTATTCAAACCACACATAAAGATAGCTTCGGTATATTTTGCTCTGTTTCTATCTATTTTTTGAAATATCTGCAAATGAATCAAACATGATACCATTGCTTTCCATTTCATTTTACCATATCTTTATGTCGGTTATAATGAAGGATTGATTATATATGCTCTGTGATCAATGCTGATCCATCAGCCTTTAGATGATTGTTTCTAACCGGAAGGTGTAATTGAGGATTAAATCATGTCCGTTCATCTTATGCTATTGATCAGATCTATTGTAGATCAGAAAATTATGAAACTCCATATTAGTTTACTTTATAGATAATGATTTTAACTTTTTTTTTTGGTAGTTGAAATATGTTAACTACGAAACGTTCTACAAATAACCAAACAAAACGTTCAACAAGGTTTGAAACCAGAGATACAAAACTACAACAGGGAAAAGGAACCAAAACATTGAGATCAAAAGAAGCAGAAGCAAATAAGAAATCTCCCAACACTATAGCCAAATACTCTTATGGTAACTCCCCAAAAGGTTTAAAAGTTCATCCAAAACCACCATCAACTCCTTCATCTATATCCTCTGAAGGATTTGATGATCAAGATCCTGGAGAATCAAAAGAAGCTGATATCTTGGACGAGTCCTCAAATGGGGTACAAACTGATGATGAAAGTGAAACGATTCATGTTGAGGAAAACACTCATCATGAAGCAAAAGAAGCTTTTGATCTAAAGTTTGCACAAATGGAAACAAGAATCGAGAAACTTGAAGAGGAGCTAAGAGAAGTTGCAGCTCTTGAAGTTTCTCTGTATTCTGTAATACAAGAACACAGTAGCTCAGCACATAAGGTGCATACCCCTGCTCATCGTCTTTCTAGGCTTTATATACATGCAAGCAAGCGGTTGTCTATTGCTAGAAACATTGTATCAGGGCTTAATATGATTTCCATGTCTTGTGGTAATGATGTTTCAAGGTACTTACTTCACTTTGCTTTGATTTGTTATCTTTGCTTCTTGATATTGTGGAATGATATTGAATACCCACTTTGCATTTGTAGGTTGACTTTTTGGTGGTCAAACATTGTTGTATTGAGGGAGATGATTACCCAAGCATTTGGAAATAAACAATCCAATAAGTCTGATTTCACGAATTTAGTTGATGATTGGCAAGAAACAAGAACATTTACATCTGAACTTGAAAAAATCGAGTCAGGGATCTTTTCGCGAATCATCGAGTCTATTTGGTGCCAGGTACAAAGTCTTTTTCATTATATACAATGATTTGTGATAAAATTGGCATTAAAGTTGTTAGTAAGTTCTTATGATCTTATGGATTATGTGGGTGCAGACTTTGAAGCCTAAAATGCTTACAAATGAAGCAAATGCAAAGTTACCTGGAGACTTTTCCATTAATCTATGGCAAAATGCTTTTCATGATGCTTTCAAGAGACTTTGTCCTGTTCGTGCAGGGGGGCATGAATGTGGTTGCCTCTCATTTTTGGCAAGAATGGTAGGTTCGGAGGAGTTTTTTAGAAGATAAATAGTTGTTGATGCTACTGAAATGAAGGAAATAAACTGTTATCAATTTCATTAATATCCTTCAAATTTTAAATGATCAGGTAATGGAACAGTGTGTTTCCAGACTTGATGTAACCATGTTCAATTCCGTTCTCCATGATGAAATTCCATCCAATCATGTAACAGATCCTATTATCGATTCCAGAGTTTTGCCTATTCCAACCGGATATCTAAGCTTTAGCTCAGGGGCGCTACTCAAAAAAGCAGTTGGCAATTGGTCTAGATGGCTAACTGATAGGTTCTCAGTGGAAACTGATACCATAGAAGCTGCTGCTAATGAAGATGATGATTTTAAGAAGACTAAAACCGGTGAATTAAAATGCTTCAATCTCCTTAATTCATTAAGTTGTGTTCTAATGGTACCAAAGGACATGCTTACCGACAGATCAATCAGAGACGAGTTGTGTCCTTCACTAAGTCTTTCGTTGCTAGCGAAAATACTCCGCAATTTTACTCCAGATGAATTCTGTCCAGATCCAGTTCCGAACTCTGTATTGGAGGCATTAAATGCTGAGGTATAACCTTAAATGCTCAAATATTATTACGATTACATGTCAGAGAATTGTATGAGCTCCTTTAACGCCGAGTATGTATCATTTTGTGTAGTCGATCATTGATCGTGGATCATCGGAAGACGATTCGAGCAGCGTTACGTATGCAGCTGGAACGATCATGTACAAACCTCCTCCGATCAATGTTGCTGAGAGAGTTTGTGAGGCAGGTGGAAACACTGAATTGAACAGAAAGGTGTATGCGAGCGATGAGGAAGTGGAAGAGCTCGATTCATCGCCCACTTTTACAATCGGAAAATTCCCATCGTTTCCAACCGGTGAAGAAAACGGAATTGCGAGATACCAACTTCTTCGTGAAGTTTGGTCGTCTTGAGGCTTAACTCAATTTCTTGTGCGAAAAGAAAAGAAAAACCATTATCTTGGTGCATCAAGGCTCCTCAAAGATGGTTTATATATACTAACCTTTATTTTGAAATATACGGATTTTATACGGCTTTTTACTTTTGTGAATAGGGTTTTCGATCTAAATAAAGGGTATTTTTTTAAAAGAAAATACAAAAATTTCATTTAAATATAAAAAATTAAAAGATCTGTATAATGAAGGTATTGCGCTAAAAATCCGACCCGGGCATGCTTCTTTTTAACTATTAATTTTTGTGATCTAATTGTAGATGATATCAAGGATAAAAAGGGTATTATTTGTGAAAATATACAAAAAGTTTATTTTAATATAAAGAAAAAAAATCAAAGATGTCATCTAATTATTTATAGAAATATAAAAAAAAGTCACTTAACATTTAATTTAGTATCATTTATATCAAATATGATGTAAGCTTACTATTATTTAATTTGAATGTGTGTAAATTTAAAAATTCTTAATTGAAAATGACATTGTTAGGGATTTTTTTTAATCAAGAACACTTCTATGAAAATCAGTTATAAATTTAAAATTTAAAATAATGCAACCATCTCCCTTGCCTTCCTCGTTTGCATTTGCACCATCACCACGAAACGGCGTAAACAATCAACCCCTTCGTTGACATGCTCTTGTAAAATTCTTTATCATGACCAATGTTTTTAATTTTATATTTCGATCCCCCAATAGATTTTTAGCTAGGGTTAGCTTTTGTCACTTATGTTAGACATGTTAGATTTTAGACAGGGTTAACTTGGGTCGGCTAAAAAAAGACCATATTAAAAAAGAGTTGGTTAAAAAGATACCTTATTTTACCATTTAGACAACTTTAATTAATTTTTGAAATATTTTTATTGGTTGAAATTGCATTGTTTTCCAAAAAAACTGATTACAAGATTGACTTTTTATATATAAGAAATTTCCAGATGATAGACGATAGTTCATAACCCAAGGGGACCAAAACTTTTATAAACTTTATTATTATTATTATTATTATTATTATTATTATTTGTTCAAATGAGAACATTTTTTAAATCGGAAAAAAATTAAGAACAAATCTGAACTATTAATTTTTAAATATTAGATCCGTCATATTTTACCCAAACTCTTTCTCTTTCTTTCTCTACTCTCTTTATTTGTCTACATATATCCCTCATATTGAAGGTAAATCTGGACCATTGTCATGTTCGCTGGACCGCCGCCCGAACCACCATAACGTCACCAGAACGACTTTAATGTTGTTGCAACCACCGAGCGAATGTCTCTTCACTCTCTTCGGATGTGCTTCTTCGCCACCTTCCTCCGGCTCTCTCCGTCAGAAACTACCTCCTCCGCATCTCCTCTTCCATAACCACCACGAACGTTGGTGACGACGTTGTCGTGTACGACAATCGACAACAACAAATCGATCTGGTGGTGCTTCTTTTTGTTTCCACCTCTCCGATTTGACGAAAGGGTTCCCGTTCTAGTCTAGTTTCCCAATTTCTCTTTCCGGACGGCAGATCTGGTTTCACATGATCTAAAGAAGAAGAAGTTTACTAGTTTATTTTTCACCGGCCACAGTTGCCATCATCGAATCTCCCGAAGTCACCATTTGGTGTGGAATTGGTTTGCTCCTCTTTAACCCTCTTTTAATGCGTAAATCGTATTATGGAACTGAATCATGATTGGTGATGACAATGTCATAGGCTGTGAAATGTTTTAAGCTTTTAGGGGTCACAATGTGAAAGAAATTGTAACAACCCAAAAACAATAATAAAAATTTTCATTTGAAGTCTATTAAATCATTCATCAGTTGTTTTGAAATCCAACACCAAATCATAATATTCAAGACATCAGAGTACAATTATTTAAATTGCGTAAATCGTGAGGGGAGGATGTTGTGACATCACATCTGGCCCTTCCCTTTCGAATCGGAAGTACCTGAAACCATAAACATAAACTATGCACAAAGCTTAGTGACTTCCCCAAAGTACCACATACCAAACATACACATATGGCCCCACCCTATGGTATATTTCAATCCAATAAACAAATATGGACCCTGCCCTGGGGCATATTTCAACCCGAACATACCATAGTGGGCCCCGTCCTCGGTTATATTTCAACTCAACATACCATAGTAGTCCCCGACCTGGGTTATATTTCAACTAAACATACCATGCATGTTATAGGTTGAGTTAATGGGTGTATTTCAACCCTAGCTTCTTGACCCATTAAGTCATCCTATAACATGCATGGGAAGAAAATAATGTCCAAGATCATATTTTTATGACTTAGCACACCCTATAACATCTTAAAGGACAAATCAAACATATTGGAGTACTCCGTACTCACAAGGATCAAGGTTTGAAACAAATGGTACCAACTTTAAGATAAAACTAGATCTAAATGAAATACTCAACAACGTGGAGATTTATACCTCTAGAAGGTGCACAACGGAGTGTAGATGTTGGATCCAAGGCCTTGAGTGAAATCCTAAAAGACACTCCAAGCTTCAAAATACACATAATAAGGAATGAAGACTGGAGTTAACGAGGGTATGGGGCTATAATGATGCTTAAACAGGGTCCAAACCCTAAAATTTAGGGTTTACACCCTGGCCACGTACGCCCAACGTACGTAATGTACGCCCAATATACGCAAGCCTGTCCAAATAAGTATGAAATTGCCATTAGCGACTAGATTTGCAAATCATTTAGAAACCAAATGTCAAACTAAAAATACCTAGAAATCAAGATGTTATAGAAATTAAAGAAAACATGCAATACAAGTTAGTGATGATAAATTGCTTGAATCATATGGCCAATTACTAATCGATTATGGTGCGTGCGGTTTGCATATCATAAAGATAAATTTAAGCTATCTGATGCATTAATCAAGGGTCACATGTATATTGTTGTCTTATGTGCTTTTATAGACTCCTAATTTGCATGGGCTAGTTAGAAATGAATATAATTGATTTCTTTATGTTGGATTAGTATATGCTAGTAACTTTATTATTATTATATTTTGAGATAGTTCCAAATTTTAATAACCTCAAAAGATGAGGTTATTAGTATATTAAACTTTGAAAAGAAAAATAGTACTCGCTAGGAATAATTACTGCCTGACATTCTAATGAAAAACTCAAAAAAAGGTTATTGAAGAGTGAAAAGTACATACCTAGACCCTATTCTTTTTTATAATAATAATAGAATATCAAAATAAAAAATGTAACCATTCAATGACAAAAATAAATAGTAACTTTTGTTAGTATGGTCGAAAGCACACTTAATTTATTTTAAAATTACAAAGACTACTTACTCATCACTCATTATTAATATTTTCTTTATTCAAGGGTAGTATCACAATTATATAAATCATGTATGCTTATACGTAGACAATATTCGTTTTCAAATATGGACAATGAACAACTATTTAATTGTCAACGTAATCAAATATTGTGTACATAAATGATATATGATTTAATACATATAATAAAGTGATTAAATACATAGAATCACATGTGATTAAATATATGAGAACAAATATTGAATTGAGAACATGAAAACGAATATTGTCCATATCAATCATATGTGATTATATATATATATATATATATATATATATATATATATATATATATATATATATATATATATATATATATATATATATATATATATAAAACATGTGATTGGATAAATAAGAACAACTATTGAATCGAAAATACGAAAACGAATATTGTCTATATAAATAATATGTGATTAAATGCTTATAATCACATATGATTTATGTGATTAAATACACATAATTACATATGATTTATGTAATTATATTTATTTAAATACATGAGAACAACATCTAAATCACATATTATTTATATGGACAAGATTAATTATCGCGTTAGTCTTAGTCAACTTCAATTATATGTAACTAAATACATCTAATCTCATGTGATTATATGTAACGATCGTTTCCGAGGTATAAAATTTATTTAATTCTTCAGTTGTTTTTGGGCCATAATTGAATTAATATTGTGAGTGGACCCTTTATTTTGGGCCGAAGTGTAAGCATCCCCATAAGCTGTACGCCGGGCATAACCCCCTTGTATGCTGGGCGTACTGTTTAAATGAAATGCGGGGAGGCTGAGTGTACGTGCAACGTACCTTATGGTACGCCTATCGTACGCGACCAGGTGGCAAACCCTAATTTTAAGGGTTGAGGCGTATTTAAACCCCATTATAGCCTCCCATTTGGCCTCCTCACTTATCATTCACTCTAGAGAAACCCTAGTTAATCCCCTTTTGCTCCTTGCTTGTGTGTGTTGATCTTTGAACTTATTTTTGTGAAGAAGGAGAAGAAGAGAAGTGGAAGAAGAAGAACTTGAGCACCTTGAGCTCATAGATCTGGGATCATTCCTTCATTTGGCATTCAAAAGAGGTATAAAGCTTCCAACTTTCCTCTTGTAAGTTTAGATCTAGGAGTTTTTGGAAGTTTGGACCTTTTAGGTCCAAAGGAGGGACCTTTATCTTAAAACTTCGTTTTTGGAGCTTGGGATTGATATCCTTGAAGCTCAAGTGTCCCTATAGCAGTAAAGTTTCGATCTTTGAGGCTTATATGGAACCATGCATGAGATCTAGTTGGTTTTGTGGAAGTAGAATGTTATTTGTAGGAGTTTGAGCCTTTATGAGACTTATAATCCATCAAGTAAGCAACTTTATGGCTTAAGTCATTGAATAAGCTGAGGATCTGGATTTGTAGCATCTAGATCAGATTATTAAGCACTTAACGAGATGTTGGATTAATAGGGCTGTACGATGGGCGTACAAGGAAGTACGCGCCGCGTACAAGCCAGCAGCCAGTACGCTTAGCGTACCTTGGTGTACGCCCCGCGTACGCTACCAGTTTGGGCTTCGAGTGTTGGGCCTCGGTGTGGGCTGGGTTTCAGGCTTAGGGTCCTTGGGCCTTTATGGCCCATCAGAATTCAGTTGCTAAGGACCAAGGATTTAGTATTGGGCTTGAGTAAGGCCCAATAAAAGGGTTCTAGGCCCAATATAGCAAATTGGGCCATTAGTGGGCCTATAGTGGGGCCATAGATGGACTTAGAAGGAATTGAGGTTTTGGGCCATGTTGTGTCCCACACCATAGTAGGGGTAAAATGGTCATTTTACCCATAGAGGAATCCCTATTCTGATTTAGTATTTATTTCCCATTATAGCTGGGAAGCAGCCGGAGCAGCCGTCAGGGATTTCTCATTCAGGAGTTCAGCAGTCAGCGTCACGAGGTGAGTTTC